CTCAGAAAGGATTATTTTCTAACCACTTCAGTCCAGACCCCAACTACGGCTAGCAGCAGGCAATAAAGCATGTACAACACTAACAAACCTTTATCGTGATGATTCATACACAATCATAAAGTCACATACATAACTTATGATAACAGCCCCTTCAGCAGAGACCACATAATTCAGCTATTCAACTATTAATTTAAGATATCTTGGAAAAAAGGACAAATCAAAGTAACACATTTATCAAATTGAAACCATGTAGCAATTTAGGAAAAGTAAACAAAAGCCGATAATACTAGAAAATCCTGCTACCAGACTTTAAATGCTTATTACTGAAACACTAGTGCTCAACATAACTAGAAACAGGTGTTCATTAAAGCAAAGCTTCATCCATGGCAGTGGAAAGTTTAAAGTACACTTCTATATATAGTTCATATTGACCCTTGATAAGATAGACATGATAAAATTACCTATTTTCAAGTTTCACAAAATATTACACTTAGACATGCAATTGCTATAATTTAAGCCTCACTATTTTATACTTTAGTAAGATATAAGAAAATTCCAGGAGTGGCCACAGAGTTGAATGCAACTATTTGCAAACCTGTTTTATGCCCTTTTTTATAGCTTGAACAGTTGTCTTTCTACAGACTGCATCCTTGGTTGTAGTTTTACCGTCACCCAAAAGTGGCGTCAAAGGAGACGAAACAGGCTCCACATTAGAAACATCTTCTGCTGACAATCTCCGTGAACTGAAAAATCCCTGAAATAACATAAACGCACACATCTTTTAAGTTCCTAAAATTTTTTATGTGCCAAAGATGGTTTAAGCGGGTAAAAGCAATAAGCGGGCAGTTATTAATAAAAGGAAGATGTATCTCTTTGATGGAACTCGCAACAAGACAATTATGATCGAAGGCAAAGAATATGAGCACTATCATTTTATGTAAGAGCAAACATTATGCTGACATAAGATCTAAAAACCATACGGGCTTAAAGCTGTCTAGTTCTTTACGGAACATATGGAACATGGGGTCTTCTTCATGTAATCATTACAAGCATTGCAAATTCAAGCTGTAAGTAACAAAATCCATCATACACAGTATTGTAGACACTGATACAAAGGCCCGAACATTCTTCGGGTAGAAAGATCAGATGCCCTCCTTAAACATGCCAATTGGCCACCTACAAAAGAACAATATATTTAACGGGTAGAAAGATCAGATGCCCTCCTTAAACATGCCAATTGGCCACCTACAAAAGAACAATATATTTAACGAAAATACATTGCAATAAACATTAAGGAGGCCTCGTGATTATTTTTTTTAAGCAAAATTTACCAGGAATTTGTGAAGAATATGACAATGAGCTATATGGAGCTACAAAATTGGGATGGTTTTGCTTGTTGACACTGGCTGTAGAAGTGTGGCGCAGAACGGATCGCACGTGTCGTTGCCATCCCGACATTGCTGCAAGAAATCAAATCTAGTTCATGCAAAAAAAAAAAACAGAAATTTAGCCCTAAACACTTCTCATATAAACAACGAACTAATTGACAAGAAAAAGTACTTGAACAAAACTAGGGTTCGTCGCCCGCGGAGCCGAGAAGAAGAGGGAGAGCGGAGAAAAGTAGGGGTGTGCAAACGGTCGGTTTGGTTCGGTTTTTATCAAATTTTGAACAACTGAACCGAACCATCCATTATTCAAAACCGAACCAAACTTTTGCAAGTCGGTTCGGCGCGGTTCGGTTCGGTTTGTTCGGTTCTAATCAAGATGCATTCTAAATTCATGTCATGGTGCATTAACTCAAGGTTTGTTTATATGTATCATTGTGTAAATGTTATATGTGATGACTCACAACTTAGAAAGGAGCCGCACTTTCAATTTTCAAGCAGTGAGGTTTAAGACTAAGAGATACAGCTGATGTCCCATGTCATGTGGCAACCTGGGAGTTTTCTGACGTATAAGCATACATAAAGTGCATGCATATCACATAATTTTGTAAGCTATTCAATACTTGAATGGTATTTTACTTGTTAATTTACATCCATTATGAATGAAGAAATGAAGGACAAATAGGTGATGAAATTTCTCAGTTGAGATGTAGAAGAATGATGTACAATTGATTTTTTTTTTATGTACAGTTATTTTTTGTTTTGCGATAGCAGTTGCAAAATAAACCATTTCTTGTAAAATGTATTGCAGCCAATTACAGTGTACAAAACAATCCCTATATTATGCATATGTAACATTATGGCCTATATCCACTGAAAAATCATACACAAAATTCTATACTAGTAGTTAAGACAACCACGACACAAATTAATTCAAACCTGAATAAATCAAGATGAAATGTACAGAATCATAAACCCAATGGCCAAGCAAACAAAAGTTTAACCTAATATCATGAGATTTGACAAATAAAATATTATTTAAAATCAATGTATAAGAAGCAATTAACATATCATCCCCTCAATAATTTCCAAAAGAACAATTTTTCAAAACGGACTGATTTTTTTTTTTTTTTAAAACCGACTGTTTTTTTTTTTTTATTTATCAAAATCGACCCGGTTTTGTGATTAGGCTGCTAATCACTATCCTAAATAGTCGGGGTTGGCAACCCCGACTATTTAGGATAGTGATTAACCTGCTAATCACCCTTTAATTAGGGTTTAACACCCTCCTAAATAGTCGGGGTTGCCAACCCCGACTATTTAGGATAGTGATTAGCAGCCTAATCACAAAACCGGGTCGATTTTGATAAATAAAAAAAAAAGTCGATTTTGAAAAAAAAAAAAAATCGGTCGGTTTTGAAAAATTGTTCTAATATTTTTATTGTTGGTCTTGTGTTATGTAATTTCTCGTTCTATTACTGCTTCAAAGCTGCAGCAGCGTTAGCTTGCAGACCACTGCAAAGTATAAAGTTTGAGCTCAGTGACGCACTCAAGAGGCTAGGGAAGGGAGGGAAAGATAAACAAGGAAAGAAAGTAAATATACCTAAATTTACATAAATAACTCTATACTAATAACACATTAGTCCTTTTATTTGTTTTGATGGGGGTAAAAATATCATTACACCCATTTACCCTCCTTTATCATCCTCTACCGTCCAAATCGGGGGGAAAGAAAACCAAGCAATTTTACCCTCCTTTTCCCTTTCTTCCTCCTCTCTACCCTCCTTAAAAAAACTTCCAAACAAAGTGTTTCAAACTACATTTTTCTTCCCCTCCCCCTCTCTACCCTCCATCCAAACAGGACATTAGGATTCTTGTTGAGTAGTTGATATGTGAGGGACGGGTCGGGTTTGAGGGTTAACGGGTATTGGGTACTCATTGCTTATTAGTTAGTTCGGTCGGTTCGGATTAAAAAGTTTTCAACCCGACCCGAACCGTCCTACAAATAAAACCGAACCGAATTGTTATTTTTGATTCGGTTCGATCGGGTTTTTCTATTTGAACCGAACCATGCTCAGCCCTATGACACAATCACCCCCAAATGAAGTTCATTTTCTAGGCTTCTAGCTTAAAATCACCACTTCCCAATTTATTAGTTGAAAGCAGCGTTTTCTTTTCCTCCCTCTTTTTTTTCCGTTCCCCTTTTCTCCTCAATAATAAGCTCTGAATCGTCCCCGAGCAAATTCTGCATCGATTAAAAAAGCTATGGCGATGCAAACTGGAGTCGCTTCCTCTAAAGTTCTTATCCTCGTCGGCGCAGGTCTCCCCTCTCTCTCTCTTATCCCCAATTTATATATTCATGCTGATTCCTACACAGAGAGTCGAAGGATTCGATTGTTTATTGTTTTGATTTGATATTTCGTGGGTTTTGAGTTAAGTTTTTTTTTTTACGGGGTTTTGGGTTTGCCCATTTACTGAGATTAGTTCCCTTTTGATGTTTAGGTCTGACTGGATCTATTATCTTGAGGAATGGACGGCTGTCCGATGTTTTAGCGGAGCTTCAGGTGAGAATCAAGTCAAAGTTGTTTTTTTATGTTGATTACAGCTTTATTGATTTTTTTTTTCTTTGAGCCTTTGGTTACACTCGATGAAACCAGTAGTTAGATTTACCCATTGGAACCAGTGCTTACTCAATCAGTTGGTTTTTGTTGTGACTGGTAAAATTTGTATTGTTTGCATAGCTATGGTGATCGTGGTCACAGTGGAATCAGCTTAGGTAGCCTTAGGAAAGAATGATAAAAGGAGAAGAAGAGACAAAAGAACATCATTTTGACATTTAATGAAAAAAGTTGAAGTATTCATGTGGTGAGGATGTGTTTGGAAATTGCAGAAGACATGAGTATGTACCGAGAATTGAGTCTGATGTTCATGAGCTTCATTTGTAAGTATGATTTTCATTTGAGGTGGCCTGAATCTAAAATGTTTCAAATCTTGACCTGACGAGAGAATGCAACATGACTGCTGTTGGTTCTGTTTTAAAGTAAGGTTACGGGTAAGGTCTCATATGCAAGAACTAGTGACTATGGAGAAGCTTTTGTTAGTTTGCTTTCGTGATATTATTGTTATGTACATTAAATAATGATAGTATAGTTATCTCTTTACTAAATCTATCTTATATCAAAGCAATATCACATGACAAACTGTAGGAGTATTTAGTAAAAAAATATGGTCCATCAAGGTCAAAATATAGGATAGACATATTCCAAGTCATATCAAGATCACAATGAAGTGCAGGACTATCATAATTAACACATGGTATATTAAGATCATAGTGAATGTAGGCTAAAAATTGTATAATAGTTCAGATAGTGTTAATGTGGTAAAAATAAAATTGTAATACTTTTAGTCTCGAGGTGATTGGTGTTATTTATATGCTTTGGGCGAACTGTCCTTTTTTCACTTAGCATCTCTTTTACTGGAGATGTATTTGACAGATGACAACACTATTATATATGAATCACGGTCCATGTGAGAGAGATAGGTAGGTACAAAGGCCACTATAAATTAAAATTGAGGGAAAAGAAGTTTTTATATACAAGCCTATTAGCACTGATACACAGTGTTATCAATGCGCAAAGCGCAAAGCGCAATGCGGGGCGCAAAGTCTAGTCACACGTACATGCACAAGGTGCAATATGACGCGCGTGCTTGAGTGAAGCGAGACGCACACCTCAAACATAATTTTTCAAGATGGTTTATCAAACATGAAAGAACATGTTTTTATATTTTCACATAAAAATATGTCAAGATAAATAGTATCTACTAAGAAATCCCAAAATAAGGTCTCAATCTCTTATGCTAGCATATCCAACATAGAGCGAAGTTGATAAAATCAAAAGTCAAATCAAGTCTAATTTTGAAGTGAACTTATGGTGCTCATGAACTACAATAAAGGCCTAACAGTTTTATTTTGCTTTTTGAGATATGAGTCATCGAGTATAAAGGCCTGATAGAAATGTTAAAGAACAAAACTATATGATGCTGTGCTTGGCATGCACCCTACGCGAAGCATAGGTTACTTGTGAGGCGCAAAAGGCGCTGTTGCATCAGATACAGGGCGCTTCACCATTGCCTTGGATTGCAAAGCATATAAGGCGCAGTGAGACGCACACCTTTGAAAACACTGGCCAAAAGTTTCTCCTGAAACTAACGTTTGTTAATATTGTACCAAATAAACCCAAACCCAAACTAATTAAACCCTAACCCATTAAGAGCACCCTAACCCTAGCTTTCCCTCCGCCGACCTCTGCCCTCTCATCTAACCTCTAACCTTCGCTCGTTCTCTTGAATCTCCTCTTAAATCTTTAGTGTCTGGCTTTCTTGCCTCTCCCATCTCACTTCCATCGAACTTAACAATACTCCAAGTAAGGCTTGTGACCCTTTTGTGTTCTTTTCGCAAATGCCCTATTTAACCAATGCTACTATTTCCAACTACAATCTCTTCAGTGTAATTCCCTATCGTTGGAAATCTCTAAACTCGACTCACCTTCATCTCAGCTCAAATTGGCTACAAGGTTTCAATCGCGAATTTGATTGCGAGTTTAGGTTCTCTTTGAAAGCTTAATTTGAGCTCTAATGCACTTAATGGGATGCTTCCTGCGGCTATTGGGATCTTGTTAGGCTTGAGGAGATGTTAGTTTTGGGGAATTCAATATTTGGGTTGGTGTCGATGAAAGCGATGTTTGAGCTAGGCTGTTTGCATTTGAGCCATAGTTGCGCGATTCCCCAGACCCCTTTCGAAACGTCATATAGTTCTTGTGAATTGATTCCTAATACATTTGTTCTCCAAAATTAGCGTGCCACTTACAAGTATGTGGGGCGCAAGGTCCCTTTAACTGCACATGCGCAAAACACAACTCAATGTGTGCGATCGGATGAAAGGATGCGCAAAATAGAATATATGACCTAATGACTTTACTGTAACTAATACCTATGTTAATAAAACGTGAAATGAAATCATGATTCCAACACGAACTATGCAGAAAAAACACAACAAAGAAACTAGCTCCATTAAAAAGTATTTAAGTGTTTTAAAAATATTAAAATGCATAATTAACTTTCTATTTGCTAGTTTTCTATTATATACTTTGGAAAATTTTAAGGATACCCAAAAAGAATTTTCAACGTTCCACTAACTGAACTTGCGTACCGAAGCAAGATACCTCCCATTGAATCCAAATTTTCTAAGTAGCGAATTGCATACCCAAATTTGTACCATGACCCGCTACGTATAGCGTACTATGTAACTATGATCTGAGCTCCAAATCCAATTCATTTAATGGGAGGTTGCTAATGTTCTTTGAGAATATCAAGAGCTTGAAGTACTTGAATTTGGAAAACATTAACTTTCAAGGAGTGTTGCACTTCAATGTGCCTTTCATCAAGAGACGTGACTTGTTTTAAATTTTTTTTGGGGGGGATGAGAATTTGTCTTATAATCATATCGTGTTGAGTTCTAAATTGAAGCTTGGGATTGCTCCTTGTGATAAGTATGGGTTGCATGCTTTGCTACTCGCAGATAAATAGGATTCGGGTTCGATGTCGGATTCTTTGACATTTGATTATGATGATGAAGGAGATGAGAGTGAAGGGAAGAAGGAGAGTAATGGAGGAGGGCATTATAGGCCTATTGTAGTA